CGAGCCTCTGGGAGGCGAAACCCCGCCGCTCTGCCCCGGCGTTCCACACAGGCCGCCACCCCAGGCACCCGCAGCCGTCGGCGGGACCCAGATGGACCTGCTCTTGTGTGTCTCTCTGCTGAGCACTTCAGCTCTGAAGAAAAGAGAGGATCCCTTCCTTCAGAAAGGAGAGTGGGGCTTTTATATCTATCTATATCTATCTATCTTTTTTAAGATTCCAAATAAGCATTCAGTTTGCAGAGGCCTCAAGCAAGCAGACCAGGGTGCTTACAGCAGCCCTATCAAAAAAAAAAACCAACCAACAAACCCAACCCCAAAGCAAACAAACGAAAAAACCCAACAAACCCAACACATACAACCCAAAAGACCCTGCTGAGACTAAGCCGTACATTTAAGCCCACCTAGCACCCTTTGTAACCAACCCACATCGAGCCTTTTCCTTGAGCATGGGAACTCGTGCCCCTTGGAAAGGCTTTTTTCCTTCTCCCCACCCTTCAAGTCTTACAGATGATAAACAAAGCCGCCCGCCTGACTGCTGGGAACAGAAGTGCCATCAGGTGAGAGCAACACCATAAACTACCATCACACATTCACAAGATAAGCGGCATCGTGCTTGAGAGCAAATTCCATGATGCACTAAATCAGGATGCCTCCCCCTGAAACGGCTCTCCAGATGCCTTTGCTTTGCAGATGCTTTTGCGCAATAGCGGTGACTGCATACATACAAGGCTACAGGTATTTCTAAGGCTTTGAACTAGGATCAGAATAAACACACGTCTAATGCCCACCTAATAAAAAAGCCTAGTAAAAAGCCTAATAAGCCCACGTTGGTAAAACTACAGCCAAGGCCTTTACACAAGAAAGAAGCAGAAGCCTTCTGCCCAAGGTTTTTAGCGGGTATCACACATCGCCATCATGCCAGTTTTGTGGTAACAGCACAAAAGCTTAAATACCCCAGGGCAGCATAACCGTCATCAGCCTGGCAGACCTCGCATTTAGGCAAACGTCCCTTTTGACACCTGATACAAGATGCGGGCCTCCAGGTCACCTTGGAGCGCGACATTTCACCAAAACACTTCAGAAATAATCAATGCAACTTTAGTCTGGTCTCATCGTTTTGCAGCCAGACAGGCGGGCAGAACTCCTCCTAGATTACCGACATCATGGGGAGCTTGCGTTGAGGTGCAGAAACGCCAGAAGAAAAGGCTAAGGAAGCCAACAGATAAATTCTTTCCAGCAAGGCTGATACTCAAGTTCTTCATTTCTGTAATCCAGCCAACTCTATTATGTGAGGAAGAAGTTCATGGTTCCACTTCATGAGCTAGCTACACCCAGTGAATCCAAATCCCTCTAACAGCATTGCGCTTGCAGCTCGGCAAACAGCTGCACCTGCAGGCACTACAGCAGCACAGAATACAGAAGTCGGGTTCTCAGGAAAATCCACATACAGAGACTAATCAATTTTACCGTTCTTTCAGCCAGAACGTGCTCCTTTTGCCACAGATCATCAGAATTCATACTGCAATAGCATCACAAGCCGCTCTCATGCTCAGTGCCATGGCAGAGGTTTTATTATCACTGGTTTCTGAATTGCTGAAACAAGCTCGGTTTTCCACCAAAACAGACACAAGACGATTTAAGCATGCACGTCACAGAGGAGAACACAGCAAAATAACTAGAGAATTCAACTCGCAGACAAATCTCTTCAATACAGTGTGCTAAAGGAAATCCCCAAACCCAGCTACCGCAGACCAGAATAAGAAGGGGAAAACAAAACACAACCAAACCTAAAAACAGATTACATCAAGCTATTGGGAACAAGATGACCAACAAAATCACAGCCCAGGAGGGAAGAAAACCTGGACCGTAACTGTGGGGAAGAGAAAACCAGCACCGTACCACATAGCTGGCAGAAGGAAAAAAACAGCCAGTGATACAGAGAGAGGCGTGAAGAAGTAGCTATTCTCCTTAGCTACACCCACCTCTCCTAGCCGCTCCAAAAAATTGCCCCCAGCTCCTAAGTCGCTCTTCAGCGTAGTGGATTATTAATTAGATTAAATTAACTTTGAGTGAAGCTAGCTGGCCTCTTTCTCCTTCTCACAATCTGAGTAACCGTCTGAGCAACATCCCAAAGTGCCTTGAAGGTACTTGTCACACTTCTGATGCTTAGCGTAACGTAAAAATGAAGGCAGTTAGAAAGTAAGAGTGTTGATTTGGGGGGGCTATATCCATTCTCCAAAAGGCGTTCACAGTGAATGCAGTCACAGCATGGGGGAATGCACTGGGATCGGTCTCGTACACCCTGCAGGAGAGAGCAGGAAAGCTGGTGCGATAGGGAAAGCAGGCATGACGATCCCCTGCCTGTTCTCCCTGGGGTTCTTGATTTGCTCCTCCAAAGTTGTCTTGCTTTTGGGGCACCACGTTGATAATAACTGGAGAAACCCCCCGATATGTTTTTTTAACACATTAAGTGTTGCAATGTGTCTGACTGAGGATTCATCAACCTTTGCAGGTACCTGCATTGATAGCAGCCCCCCTGGGACCCTGCCTGCCATATTTTCTTGGCTTTATCCTGCCACCATTGGGGTTAACCCCAGAGCAAGCAAAGGCAAACAGCTCAAACCAGTCTTCATTTACATTCAGAGTGGGGCAAATAAGCAAAAGCACGTGGTTGCAAAACCCTCGCCTTGCTTGGAGCGGAGCGGTGAGAAAGCAAACCATGACAGGGTCCCGAGGTCCCCTGACGTTAAATCACCCCGTCCTGCTGGGATGACTGTTTTTGCTCCACCATCCCACTGTGTGACTCTCCGCAAGCCTGGCCGGGAGCGAGGAACAGGATTCCTCCCCCAGAAATGAGGGGTGATAAATGAGGAAGTGATAAAAGACTCTCTTAGCTGCGGGCACGTTGGTGAGCAACCGGCCAGGCTGCTGTCACATGCCAGATGATCAGGAGCAGGTGAAACCCTGGGGGGGGACGTTCCCCCTGCGGACAGCGGG